AGAATAAGTAGCGGTGATTGGAAGCCAGGGGCGGAGCTACAGGGGCGTGGCTAAAGAAACTGCCAATGCCCGACCTTCGCGTGGGCGTGGCCTCCCTATTTCCTGCCCAGGGTGTGGCTCCCTGCAGCTGGCCCTAAGGGCCTGGGAATGGTCAAAAGTTAGCCCTTCTGGAGTCCTATTTCTTGGGGAGGTCAGGTCAGGTCAGGTCAGCGGCGACCAGGGCGTAGGCCACCTGGGAGGAGGTCAGTCCAGATGTTGAATCTCACAAAGTGCATGTAACAGATGTGACAGAGTCTGGAGACAACGTGGAGATCAATATGCAGCATGCAACATCGTTCAGCATGACACTTTCGGTAGTGGGTCGTTTATGGTCTGGGGAGGCATATCTCTGGTGGAACGCACAGATCTTCATGTGTTTAATTAAGGCACCCTGACAGCTGTTAGGTATAGAGATGAAATCCTCAGACACATTGTTCGACCCAATGCTGGTGTAGTGAGCCCCGGATTTTTTCTGGTACAGGACAATGCCTGACCTCATGTGGCCAGAGTGTGCTACCAGTTTCTGGAGGAAGAGGGCATCAATGCTGTGGTCTGGCCCTCACGTTCTCCGGACCTGAGCCCCATTGAGCACCTCTGGGACATTATGTATCGGTGTATTCGGCAGTGTCCAACCACACCAGACACTGCCCAGGAACTTACCAATTGCTGACCAGGCTCGTGGAGGGCATACCCACTACTAAAGTGGCTGTGCAATGTCCTGTGCTGCAAATTCATAATTTCTTTCATTGTCATTTCTCTCTAGTCACTTTGTTTTTCAACATTATTTTGTAATTCGGTCTTCCAAGGGTTACCTTTTGTTCTTCTGACCAGTTTAACGCTCTGTTATTCAAGGTACATTGGGAATTTAGTTTCAGTAAAAATTTGTAACATTTGTACATTCAACACTGAGTTTTGAAATTAAATACAAGTGTTCCCCTAATTGTTTTGAGCAGTTTATACACATACTTATATATATATACATATATATACACATATATATTTTTTTATTTATTTATTTATTATTATTATTTTCATTTTTTCTTGTGCTACATTATCTTATGCTGATAGATTGTCTAGACACTGACAGCAACTACTGAAGCATAAATCAATACCTACCACTATCAGAGACCTTAACAAATAAATCACATTAATCTGAAATTACCAAAACATCTTAATTAATGGTTTCTGGACAAAAATCAACTAACCTGCTTGGCTGCTGGATCAAGCGTTGCAGTCACGGTTCTTCTTGCAAGCAGATCTTGGTAATAGTTGGATGGGACAGCAGCTTTTAGACGTGAGACATGGCAGTCAATCAGCAAGCGCCATACCTTCCCCTAAGGGCCAAACAGATGACATTAGGCATCACATAACAGGCTGTCTGAGTTCTTATCTTCACATGGAAACACAAAAAGAACTGTAATTTCACATCTTCACTTCCAAAAGAAGGTGTTTTTTACCTAGGGCATAAAATCTTTGCTAGGGAAGTGGGTTAGACACGTAAGCCTCTTTTATAAATAGAGCAGTTATTCACTGCACCATTGTACGGAAATTAGAACACAGCTTTAAAATATACTTCTATAACAATTTTGTGTTTGTTTTTACTCATTTTACTATGTGGTTTCTAACATATAGATATGATGGATACATAAGATTATATAAGCAAACCTACATGCAAATAAGTGTACATGCATGAATAACCATACATGCACAAACAGACACTAAAATACAGATGGAAACAATAAAAACACATGGACAGACAGACAGACAGACAGACACACACACACACACACACACACACACACACACACACACACACACACACACACACACACACACACACACACACACACACACATACACACACACACACACACATACACACACACACACACACACACACACACACACACACACACACAGGTACAAGGTGAGTACAGAGTCTGCTTTATTCTCTATTATTATAATTATATTCTATATTGTTCTTCTTCATATGAAACAATGGTGAACTGCTATAAATTTCTGAATTACTCGAAGTACCTCAGCTGTTACACTCACAAAAATATATTGTGGAACATGAAACACAGTATCACACAGACTGAGACCAGATAACAGACACTCTGGATCATTTGTTTAAACCCCATTTTATCAGGTGAACTTGCGACAGATAAAATGATTTGTCCTGGTTCAGCAAATCTATGAATTACAAGATAAATAACAGAAGGCTTGCCTTAATAGTATAGATACTTTCACCAGATGCTTACTGTGTTGGAGAGGTATCTATGGTGTAAGGAACCAACTAAGACAAGAAAAAAATATATGAAAAAGAACAGAAATTAACTAAATACTATGCCATGATGAGAGTGAGTCAATTCTGGGAGGAATCTACACCTGCCATGACAATGAAAGGTTGCACTCTACTCTGCATGCTACACAAGCACTGAGTTCCATGACTCCAATGCCACGAGTTCTTGAACAAAAACTGTCCAAATGTGGCCTAAATCCTCAATTTCCAATGCCTTTACAAAACAGATTAATAGGATTATCCAGAATCAAAGAAAAAAACAATGCCCCACATTTCAACAGGGTTTATCACCCACAAAGTAATTATTGTGTACTTTGTACATTCTACAAATTTGTATAGGTTATTGTGTGTCCATGAATATATCCAATGAGCTAATCAATCTGTACTTTTAACCCATTGCCGCCGGGGAAAATGAACAAAAAATGGGGAAAATGCAGTACTCATTTTTTATATTCTTCTGAAATATCTCTGTCCATAGATGGCTCTGCTAGTCCTAATTTCACCTTTCCTTGAATTGGCAGGAAAAAAAACGCATTCTTACTAGTGCTATAAATATAGATGGTGTTATTTTTAACAGCAAATTAGGATAACGTTAAATATTTTCGGAAATCAATGAAAAGGGTGAACGGGCGAGACAGGCAGTACTCGTAATTGGCTCATTGGATACTTAGTACAAGTGTAGCCATCTATGTGTAAAAACAATCGAACAAGTCGACTCACAGTGGGCATGGCATGTACGTACAGCGGCAATGGGTTAACAAAAGTCAATTTAAGAGCTTTGAATATTGCAAAAAATACAAAGTTTTTTTTAAACATAATTAATAATAACAGACAACTCCATGCTTAGAGAGCTTCTCATATCATTATCATTAACAACACTAGAAACTGGAATTTTTACTATTCTGACCAGTAAGTACACTATCTAAGGAACTTGCAGACCCAGGCCTAGAGTTTACCCATTTTTTGCAGACAAAGTAGATCTATAGTCTTTGAAATTTATAAAATAATAATGTCTAATTGTAATAATATAAAGAGATTTTGAAGTTAGCCTAGATGAATTTATAAGCAACATTCTTATTGTTTCCAAATATGTGTACACACTGGAGTGTACACACTTATACGATAAGAAGTACAAACAAATACAAAAACAGAAAAAATTGCAGCTTGTAGAAAGTACACGAAAATGTGCCTGTAAGTGATAGCCTTCATTTTAATCACTGCACAGCATCAGGTGTGCCTGTTATTATCTGCACAATAGTAAGTGTGCTCTGATAATATCAGAGAATCAGTGGATTGAAGTTGGAGCTGAGTCTGATGACAAGCTTTGTGATGGTAAGCTCCTCAGTCTCTGAGCAGATGTTACATACCTGAGCCTGATACTCAATGAGTCACTCAGTTGTCTTAGAGACAGAGATTTCAGGTTTCAACTTAAGCAGATCTTGATATCTTCATGTAGAAGAACAGCCTTTCAAGTTCTTCTCATATATATTTAAATAAAGGACATAGAAATTGATAGCCTCACAAACAGCTGTTCCAGATGTAGTAGGCCTATTGGCTAATTAGCAAAAGATATCTATCTTCCAACAAAAAACTGTGGAGCATTTAATATCAGACAATGAGAGAAATCAGTAATAGAGTAAGAAGCATGAAAATCCACAGTAACCTGGCTAAACCACACTCACATGCATACATCGAAACATGAATACACACACAACCATTCTAGGGTTTGGATAATGTGTGAGCAAGATACATAAAGTAATTTATTAATGTTACTCAAAGTGTTACTTGAAACAATGTATCTAATTTTAGTCTTACATGATGTATGTCACAGTTGCATTTTTACAGACTTCCACTATAAACTGGTACTGCAAATTACCAATAAAAATACATTATAAATCACAAACATTTTAATTTATAGCCACAAAGCATTTTGTTCATGGGCCTTCCTATTCCCCTGATTTCATTAACGTAGTGAACAAAATATATACATAGTCCATCTACTCTAAAAAATATTTCTGCAGTACTTCATCACAGCCAAAAATAACCCTCCTGTAAGCCCAACTATCCCATCAAAATTTCCCATACAAATATAAGGGACAAAAAAAAAAAAACTTACCTTATACTGATAGGGAATACCTCCCCTTATAAGGAACTTGAGATCTGTACACGATGGCAGCTCCTTTGCACTCGTCCCTGCCAAGAAACTTTCCCATCTCTCTTCCCAAGAGCTCCCATTTTGCTGGTAGGGGTTAGAACATGCAAAAATAATATCTTAGTGCCAAAGAAGTATAATATAATATTAGTTTAACCTGTAAAAGACAAGAAGTTCAGAACTTTGTACGTACACACTCTTCAATAAAGAAATACAAAAACTAACAAGTAAACCACTTTTTAACCCTTTTCACACTGTGTGCAACACAATCCTGAACATAGCAATGCCACGTAGCATTTCCATATAATAAAAAAGAGAGACTCAAATAACTGATGAATGAAAAACAACTTTTGCCTTAGGTAATGGTCATTCCTAATTACAGATTTTATCTCTATACTATACTGCCTATATCTATCTGACTTTGTGTCCTGTATCTTACTGTCAGATAAAATTGAAATATCTACTAATTTCTGACTTCACTCATGCAGGTTCACAATAACAACCTATTCAGGCGTAGGTAGCATCTCCATACAAATGTTTCTATTAATCATGTTTGAACACTTTAGCATGACTTTGTAAAATCATGTAAAAAAAATATATATATGATCATATCGTCTGTGTATAAACTGACAGATATTCTTGTAAAAAAAATTACCAATCAAACATGCACAAAATCAGAATTTGATAACAGGTATGAAAAACTGAAGATGATAAATCAACAATGAACTTCTACAAATAATACTTCTGATCTTTCTATTTGGATAATGTGAAAAATTACTTTGCCTCGGTCAAAAAACTAAGAGATAAGATGATTAACTATAGCTATTCCTTTTTTGTACAACACAACCAAGAAGGTTCACTCAATTAGAAAAGCATCAACACCCAATATCTGTTTGTGAAATAAGTTTGAAGTTAATCAAAAGGTGTTCTGTGAATTAACTAACTATCCAAAGTCTTTGTTAAAGGAAAGTCAGCTGAGTAAGTAACAAGACAATCCAAGCATAAAATTGGGAAAACCTTAATCATATCTTCTGTATATAGTTAGCTTACTTTCCTATGGAATTATCATACAATCTAATCCATGCTTGACTAATACAATGAGTAAATACTAAACACTTAACATACCTAATCAAAACTAAACACATCTTAAATAAATAAAGTTTAAAATATGTGGGTGAGGATGCATTAAACACACAGAAAATCTAGTGCATTTCTACCTTCCAGCTGACAAGCTAATGCTGCACCATCTTCTAATCTCCGCTAATTGATTTACAGGCATTTTGTGAATCAGCTTCAGAATGGGACATGAACAGTTTTGAAAATAATTAGCACATATCCCCTGCTCACTTAGTGTCTGATCAAGATATAAAACACATAACGATATAAAATTGGAATTAGTAATGAAGCTATCTAGAAGTCCAAAACATATAATATATCTAAATGTATATCAAGCACCTATGAATTACTGGCATAACACAGCACAGCTCACCTGAACTTGGTTGGCTAAGGCCTGAGATTGCTTTTGGAGATAGTTCGCTCTTGACTGCAAGCTTCCCTCGCCCGGGGCTGTGATGCAGAATCCATACTCGTCATACTCCCGCCCTTTGTTGTGTATCACTCTGGAGGGATTTTTCTTTCTTGTTATCACATGCATGGCAAAAATCATTATCTACTAATCCTCTGTACATGGGTACACGTACTGTCCAATAAAGTTTTTTTTTTCAGTTAGCTGCTCCAATGTAACCTCACCCTTGATTTCCCCATTCCCCATTTTGTTTCTAATTCTATCAATATTGACACTGTTATGATCATTATGACATTATAATTATCATAATAATAATAATAATATATTTTAAAAATTTCTCTGATAATCAAGGAAAATAGCAAACAGGTGAGATAGGTAGGACTCATAATTATCACTATATTTCATGATCTAAGTGTTCAGACGTGTCTATAAAGAATGATTATATTCTCTATTTGCCAGAAAAGCCAAAGAGTACTTATTAAAGAAAGTAAGGTCAGAGATTCTGCTGCAGTTTGTTAAAAAAAATAAAATAAAATAAATATTTGGAGTGCTTTGAAAACTACAGAGGTAAAACCTGGACGTTCTCATACAGTTATAAAAAAGCACAATACTGCTACTTCTTCATAATGAGCATTACAGTTTTAAGGCAGTAAATATGAACACATCTTGCATAAAAAACAAACCTAAGGTCAGGGGAACCATGTGCTTCGACTACATCTTGCAACAGCTGGGAAACAATGGATGGGTCATGCTGGCTGGTTTGGGGCGAGTGAAGTTCATTTAGCAGCAGAAGGTACTTGCTCTGAATCTGGTAGAATTTGGCTTCCCATTCACTAGATTCACTGTTGGAGTATAAATGCTGGTTTCTTTTATTCCATCTGAATGAATTCTCTTGACAATGCAAAACAAAGTCTGTTCTAACTGTTATTTATTTCAAGGTTTTGAATTCAATTTCCATGCAGCTAATACTGATTCATTATGATTTCTAATTCTTCTTAATTAAATCTACACAATCATAGAATCATTCAGACTATACAGAATACAGTAAAGGAGTCATTAACATTCAGCTCATACCTACTTTTCTGTTAATTTTGTTTGCATTTAGTAACATTATGAAAAGTCTATATCCATACAATTCACGATTACATTCAATCAAGTAATCTCCACAAAAAATATACAAGTCAGATTTACTGTTACTCTTGTTGGATATTACATGTCTCAAATGCACTATGATAAAAAAAGATACACCTCCCAAAAATTTACAAATACATACGTGATCAGCTTCTGCTCTCTCTCTGAACAGTGTTTCCTCAGAAGGTTGAGTTCGAGAATCTCCTTGTTTAAGAAAGTGTTCTGGCATCGATAGGCTTCAAGTGCATCTTTGAGTGCATCCTCTTGCTGTGAAGATGTCTGTGTGCCCCTTGTGGTTGTCTCATGGTTGGTAAAAGTTAAACTTGGAGGGAGTGACACTGGACGGACATT